GGGGGGGGGGGGCAGGCGGTGGGAGAAGCCCCAGGGGATGCGTCTGCGGGATTCGCTTGGTCCTTTAAAGAGAAGGTAAACTAGGGAGCAGAGACTCGTCGGAATCCAAGCGGGAGTCGCCCCAGGATCTGAAGGGGCCTTGACCATGCCAGCCGCCCAGGCCGGGGGCACTCGGGACAGACCAGGAGTCGGGGACAACCAGCTCGGGGGAGGGAGGGTTCGGGCTCAAACTAAAATGAGCTGGTAGGTGGGTTGCGGAAGACCGCCTTTGGGGGTGCGGAAGACCGCCTTTGGGGGTGCGGACCCGGAGCCTCTTGCTCGAATGGAAGTTCTAGAGAAACCCTGAGTGTGGTCAGCAGGGCGATAGGAGCAATCAGCCAGGTGTGTGGTGGTTTCAGATCACCTGTCCTGTCCCCACCCAGAAAAACTGTCAATAAGCAATCTCGGCCCATTGAGGCGAAAATTCTAATTCTTTGGGGATGAACCTCAATTTTCTGGTGAGGGTAAAATTATTTCCTTAGTGAGTCTAAAATCCAGGAAAATCAGTAATTAAAAATAGATGGTAAAGGAAATCAGGCCTGTTTACTCATATTTTTTCGTGTTAAGGCTAAGTATTGGGATATATTTTATATGTAAAGTGTTTAAATATTTAAGATAATGTGAAACACTGGGCAAGAGGTGAGCCTTGTGATTTCAGCTAAAACAGGGACTTTAGAAATTAATTTTAGATTTGCAATTTTTAAAAAAAAAATGTTTTTATTGATTCAGAGAGAGGAAGGGAGAGGGAGAGAGAGAGACAGAAACATCCATAATGAGAGCCGTTGATCGGCTGCCTCCTGCACGCCCCCGACTGGGGATCAAGCCCGCAACCCAGGCCTGCGCCCTGACCTGGAATCGAACTGTGACCCCCAGGTTCGTGGGTTAATGCTCAGCCACCGAGCCGCGCCGGCCAGGCTAGTTTTTTATTCTAAAATGTTACTACCCCCCCGCCCCCGCCCTGAANCGCCCTGACCTGGAATCGAACTGTGACCCCCAGGTTCGTGGGTTAATGCTCAGCCACCGAGCCGCGCCGGCCAGGCTAGTTTTTTATTCTAAAATGTTACTACCCCCCCGCCCCCGCCCTGAATAGACGTCTAAAGCCGAATGAAAGCCAGAAAACCTC